TACTGCTTTCCATTTTGTTTGTGGGTCATGAATGGGTGCAAAGATATTTCACTGGATGGAGAGTGGATGGGAAGTGACCAGACACATGCATCTACGTACACAAAACTGGCACTAGAGTGATGATTGATGGGAGAAGTTTGAGCTTGTTAGTTTTAGTATGGGGACGTACTGCCAGGCCAGCAAGATTCCCAAAAGCACATTAAGGGGGAAATGAAAAACACTTGCTCACATAACCCCCCTACACACACAACCAAACACACACATTCAAAAAGTTTTGTTTGGTTTCCACACCACATGACCCTCCGACTGCAGGAGCCCCTCATTACAGCACCGGCTCATTATTCTTAATAAAAAACTTGTGTACTGCTGCAGTTTGTTGACAGTGCTGAAGGTTCAATGGTGTTTTTGTAGTAAAAGTTATATGAATGTTTGTATGAATGTAGTTGTAAGTCTCTCTTTGCATCTTTGCACTGTGATGGGTTAATAAAGTTTGGTTTGTGTAACTGGTGGCCAAACTTGTCATAAAATCCAAAGCCAAATGAAGGACAGTAAAAACACAGGCACAATCCTCCAAATTTGTTGTTTTAAGCATAGAAAACATTTTAAAAAAAGTTAATATTTGATAATATTCTTGAAAGTTACAAATACATATTCATTGCCAATCATAGGATAAATGTGCCAGATTTTGTTATTGGTTCTCCTCAGTTGTGTAACAGCTGGCTTAAATCATTTTTTTTATCATTTTTTAGAAATCCCACTCTGAAGCTTTTTCCATTTTTATCAATGTGAACTGGGAGCTCAAGTGGGCTTCACTAGCTTGAAGTGAGTTTTATCTTCATTGGTTTGCCTTTCTAATGGATTACCTACTGATAACTAATAGTGCTAAAGTGTCTAGTGTGAACAGCTAAATCAATACGCTCATTCTACAACATTATTACATTCAGCCTTTATCACAAATATTTGTTCTTTTGTTTTTTAATAAGGATCCTTTAATCTGGTTATTTGACATTTGTGATGCAAATGTGTACTAAGAAGGACATTTTACAGTTAAACAAATAAACTAGTCAGTGCTCTCTCATGGACAAACTATGAAATGTCAATACTGTTTCCAAGTTATCTCAAACATATATGACATTTCTGTATGGCAATTTTGTTTTACTAGGACAGCATATAAGCTTATATAGACAGAGACAAGCTAACGTCAGCTGATAATATAGGCCACACTGCATCATTATCTGTTAAAGGTGTCCTTGAATAAGGTACTTAACCCCTAAATGCTACCATCTGCAGCTGGCCCTCAGATAAGGCTTTGTATGTACTGGGCAGTTCCCAGGTGTGATTCTGTGTAACTATGAGCAGGCGGCTGAATGAGACCATTCAGTGAAAGTAAATCTAGCCTGGTAAAAAAATGAAGGTTAAAGTAAGTACTAGCTGGGAGCAGTATAGGATCCCAGTGGAGACTAGCCAATGGTGAAACTCTGTTACCAGGTAGTGCAGGAATGGGATGTGCTCTGGATTATGAATGAGAGGATGTGGGGAGGTATTCCCTTGTGGAGGTTACAATGGGAAGAGGTGCTTCATGAATGCTAACTTTGTACATGGGAAGACTTTAACATGTTCTTTTGCCTTTATAGCAGGACGTTTAGGATGAGGGAAGCATGTAATAGGAGGACACATGAGGGGATGGATGAGGTGTGTCTCAGAGTGTGTATTCATGTGTGTGTGTGTGTGTGTGTGTGTGTGGGGGGGGGGGGGGTGGCAGGATGAGGCCTGACAAATGAACAGATCACCTGTTCAAACCAATTAGCTTGCACCCCTGCAGTGAAATGAAAATAGAATACAACTGAATCTCAACTTTAGTTGACTTCAAAGGTCAGGGCTCTCTCTCATCTCTGCTACCTGAGGTGGAGACAATTAATTGTGGTGGCCTAATTTTTATAGAGTCTAGGCACTGTTTAAAAGGAACAGGGGATAAACTGCACTAGACAGCAATTTCAAGTGCAGGTTTTACTGTAAGGAGGCAGAATACATAATCAAAACAAAGAACAAAATGTATAGTATGTATAGTAGTATAGCATAGTTTTATGCTCAAAGGCAACATAAACTAAAAAGGGGGGGCGCTAGAAGTGTAGTATATGCAATAATAAAGAACAATGTCCTAAACAAAGGGTTACAAAGTGCTTGAAAAGAAGAAAAGAAGTCCTTATATATCAACAGGCTTAGCGGCTTTAGGAAGAAAGGCACTGTTGAGTCCCTTAATGGCCACAGCTCATGACAAACAAATGAATTACCATACTATAGCGTGATGAGAGCTGTGACATAGAATAGATGAAAGAAACAATGAAATCATAACGCAGCAGTCACAGCAGGCAGAGAAACAAACATTGCCCATTATTTTCAGATATGAAGCCACTACCCAATGCAGGTGCTTAAATTAGATGTGTGTGTTTTCGGAGAATCTATTTCATGCAACGCATGATGAACTGGCAAATAACCCGAAGAAACAATATGAGGTAAAAATAGAAATTAATATAACTTGACGTAAGCAGAGGGCCACTGCAGTAGGGTGACAGCTACAAAGCAGTAAGCTGGGGATCTAAAGTTTAAAAGGTGATGGAGATTAGAGCACAAAGCACTTCAATTGAATTACATTAAAAAATACAAGGATTGAACGTTTTTACTGCTGGAGTGCAGGGCTTTTATATATAAATGGATGTCTGTCATATTCAAACAATGCAATGCTGATAAAACCAAAAAAAATAAAGGATAAGCATTGGTGAAGCTTCTCCTTGTTGGAGAGCCCTGAAAGAAGAGGAGGGACTGAGGGGAGACACAGATGTGCATGTTGTTTGAACAAGTACATATAGGTATCGAACAAAATAAGTAAAAGGAGGATTTAAACTGGACCATTCTGGTGAAAATGGTTCTGTCAGTTACAAACAGGAAGAGAGAGGCTACTACTATTACTGCCCCTGTTATTATTACTGGGATCATACCGTGATGTGAGCGCTGAATAATGAATACAGACTCAGGCGAGTTTGTCACTATGACAACCATAGCACAGACTGCCACTGGGTGCCCCTTCCCATACTATTAATACCATGTCCGCCAAATGACCGGGATAAGGTCCATGTGGTACACAGCACACCATTCCAGTGAATTATGAGTTAATGGACCCAAATTCTGACTCAAATCCTGCAGGGTGTTATCATAACAACAGTGTTGGTGTTTGGCACAGAATAACTCCAAATATCATTAAGAAATGTAATTCTGATCATTGTTTGTTTTGTTTTTTATATCTTTCAGTACACTTTTGACTGAGGGCAACAAACGATTTATCCAACAACTGCAACAAAGCTGAATATACAGGTTTAAACTTATATGGTAGGTTTAAAAGCTCAATGGCAAACTAAATTCCTCACCAACAAAGGCACCCAGAAACCAAGTCACACTTATTTGACAAAGTAAATAACAAATTTCCTTGCACACAAATTGACCATGTAGTCTTTAAATAATAGAATAATCTTTGGCTCTTAGTGAGAGCAATAATGGTATTTAATAGGAAATTAAATCTAAAATTAAATTTTAGATAAAACAAAAATTAAAAATGATATATAACTTGAAGAAAGTTCAGCTTTGAGTTTGCATATCAGTTTGTTTGTTCAGCCTATTCCCTTGATCTATAATAAATTGGTGGAGTGCCAGAAAGACGAGCAAAGAAGATTGTGATAATTCGTTTTCATTTGAAATATTTAGGTACATCTAGGGCTGTTGAACTAATTAAATGTTTCCCATTCAATTGCCATTATACTTGTTTCCTTTCATTTGGGAATACAGCAAGACTATATTACTGACATTACTACCCTTATATAATGTCATAACTTGGTAGACTTATAGAATTGCAGATGATGTGCATGTGGTAGGAGATATGTTTTTATTGCTGTAATAGGACAACCCAAACACTGGCTGTATGTGGGACCTTCTGCGTTTTTTGCAGCCACCACAGGTTCTCCAACACGCTTGGAGGGTGAGTAGTATTCAGTTGGTTGCAATGTGCAACTTCACCAGAAGATGATGCCACTAAATCCTACACACTATCCTTTAAGAAAACTCCTCAAAGTAAACCAATTGAATATTCTTGTGAATTTCCTTTTCTTCTTCATTAAATCACAATCATTGTAACATACTGTCCAAATACAACCTCTTCAGTTTAGAAAATCTTATTCTGTTTTTAGTCTGTTTGATGGGTAGTTATGATAATTGCCAATGCTACTTCTCCACCATTTTTCAGCTCCACTCTGAACAAATGAGGATATCTTTATCTACTCTAAACTCTGACTTAAACATCCAACTGCAGTGGACTGCCTTTGTACAATGCTTTTGTCATTTACAACCATTAAAATTGGAACGTGCTCCCAGGTGAGCTTAAGAAGACTTCATTCTTACTTTTGTGATTCAGATTTTTAAACTGTAATGACTTGTAATATTATAGTTACCTTTGATTATAATGCTGGTATGTATTTGATGTGTGTTGGTATATTTGTCTGTATAATCGTTGTGTAATAGAGTCTATGTAATGGTGTTGCATGTAAATTAATGTTGTTAGTGTTTGGTGATTATTCTGTGTGAACCTGCTTAGAGATCGGAAATGGAAATTAGCTAATAGCTAAACTGGCATAAATCATCTCTTCTCATTTCGCAGTTTTGGAGATGCTTTGACCCAGTCGTCTGGCGATCACAGTTTGGCCCTTGTCAAAGTTGCTCAAATCCTCACGCTGGCCATTTTACCTGCATCTAACACATCAACTAGACAAAATGTCCACTTGCTGCCTAATATATCCTACCCACTGACAGGTGACATGATAATGAGATAATCCGTGTCATTCACTTCATCTGTCAGTGATCATAATGTTATAGCTGATGGATGTAAATAAAAATAAAATTGAGAACTGCAAAGAGAAAACACAAGCAGATATTAAGCACATGTTGCTGAACCCTACCTTGACCTCAACGAAGTCCGGCTGGCCCAAAGCAATAAGTTCAGAGTAGGCCTGCATTTCCTCCACGTTCCAGGCCTTCACCAGCGTCAGTCTGTACACCGTCCTCTGTCTCTGGATGGACAGACGGGGGTTGGGGATTGATGGAAAGAGTAGAAAAGTGAGGGCATAAACATGATATTGTTGTAGCAATAGTGTATTGCATATTTAATGCAGGTCTACTTTTGCTATATCAATACATTACCCAATTTAATTGCATATCATAAGTGTAAACATAAAAAAACTAATGCAAGTAGTGTTCAACAGCTTGGTATTGCACTACAGATTCTAAAGGCAACAACACTTTTGTATAGATTAAAAAAAAGAAAATTTAAACCTCCAATTTAGTTTAAAAAAAACCTCATCATCAAGGCAGTTTATTGTCACCAACATCTGTCCTCAACAGGCAACACAGCAGCTCACAGATGTCTTGTCAACCACCTACTTTCTGCATGAATTATAATACAACAGTTAGGGGTAGGTTTGCATGTTTGCTAATGCTCTAACAACTGCTGTGTTGCAATACAACTGCATATGTTAAGGATATCCCAAGCGTATCTGAAGGATGATGACTGTCAAGGCATCACTGCACAGAATAATATAAACTATGTTACACCTTTTCCAATCACACTTCCAATAATTTGTTTATCCTGCATCCGAAAAATACTGGAACTCCACAGCGTTGTCAGCAAGGGAACAGAAAGGAAACCTTGGATTGCATTAAAAAAAACATAAAGAACAGGCAGTACTATCAAATAAGGATGGGTAAGCAACCTCATGAGCCTCTGAAATGCTGATTTTATAATTCAAAATTGCATTTGATCTTTTGGATTCATTCATTCTGAGGTTGAAGATAAGTTATCCAAATATGTCTTTCCATGCTGCTACAATAGGTCAACACTATTACAAACATTACAGAACCTTGGCTATATTTTCCCAAGGTTTTAAAGATAATAAATATTAATAAAAAAAGTTATTAGATTGGACAATGTGTCAATGTGTGAGATATGGAATATATATATAGATTTAGATTAAGGTCAAAGCAAAAAAAAAAAAAAA